ATAAAAATTACAATTATAAATTATTGTAAGTGCTATGAGAGAAAAGTATATGACTCCATGAATGTGTAACAGAGAGACTCACTTTCTCTGGAAACTCAGAAAAAGTTTCCCTGATAAAATTAAATTTGACTCAAGACCTAAGAGATGATGATGAGGAGAGTTCCAAGCAGAAAAAGGAGTACTTTTCCACTTCCAGACATGTTGGGTCCTTCTTTGCTGAAATTTTTATTTCTATATTTGCTGTCTCTTGGCATTTTTCTCTTGAATTTTATTGTATTAGCTATCAATACTGATCTTCTATCCCCATAATAATAACAGCAAATATTTATGGTACACATACTACATGGAAGATAACATTCTAAGCAATTTATATACACAAACTCATCTAATCCTCAGAGTGACTATGCTGAGGTAGGTTATATTTCCCCATTTTATAGATGAGGAATCTGAGGCATAACCATGAGAAGTTACTTGTCTAAAATGACGAAGCTGCTGGTACTAATCTTGCATGTTCCCTATCTCCTTCATAACTTATCACTCCAAGCCACCAAGCTAAATTAGCACTACTAATGGAAAAGAATACCAAATCTCCTATATCCTCCAAACTGCCACCATCTTCAATTAGGCTGGATCATGCTTATTTTCTCTAGTTTTCAGAAATTAGGAATAAAAAATTGACCATGGTAGCCTACATTCAAACATCTCCAGAAACAAGGAAAATTTTCTTAGAAAAAGTAATACATTCTTACAAAGTGATTGATTCAGAAAATGAAATAATAAAAACTGGTCAAGGAGAAAGAATTATATTTATTTAATTCCTTCTCCACCTCTCAAGGGAGATCAAGAGGAATTTTTTTTTCTTTTAAATCAATCTCATGTTTTGCATGTATTTGCAAAGCTAAAATAATATATAGTAAATTGGCTAGGATGCAGAAGAAACTCCCAAAATCAATTATTTTCTTTAGGGAAGCATCTTTTAAAAAAATTTTTTTAAAGGAAAAAATTACTATTAGGTGACCAAGGCCTCACTCAAAACTGTATCTACATTTTTTTAAGTTCCTGTTATAACCAAAAGTTTAATTTACAATTCACCATTGAAGGTGATGTGAAAAACAGTAATTAAGTGGGCGATTGATACGAGTGTGTGACTCATCGCTTGCAAAGGAAAATGATTTTGGGGAAAAGGCTCAGGAAGAGAAAAAGCAAATAATGGATTCTGCAAGAAATGCAGACCTTTCCTGTCCAAGGACTGTCACCAGTTCTTTATTACTTGAAGATTAAGGGAATAGTGAATAAAGCTGTCTGCCAGACAGCAGAAAAGGTAAGAAATAACATTGTCTCTAAGTGTACCTCACATAAAAGTATTCAGAAGTACATTCATAAAATTAAACTTTATATAAAAAATTACTAGAAAACCCAACTCAAATCTGAACGATGGAAATGTCAAAATAAAGCAATATTACATTTGTCAGGAACTTGAACAGAATGAAACAGCAGGGTAGGTCAAGTTGTAGGTTGTCTATAATTTTATTCCACTTTGTTTTAGAAAAACCACAGATCCAATACTGATTTAGTAGGAGACTTAGTGGCGTTTGTTTGTATTTGGTTGTTTTTCTACTTCATGGGTCAGTGTAAAATAAATTTGTTTTTCACTATTAGGTTTCACCAAATTTATGCCATTTCTTTCTCATTCCACAAGCCATTTAATTTAGTTTTACTTCTTTACTAACTGCCCCACCCTTCTCATATATATCTCAAATATCTATAATAATAAAAGTGTAATATGCTAATTAGACCAGACAGCCAAACGACCTTCCAGATGTCATTCCAGATGTCCTTCTGGATGAAGCTGCAGCAGCAGGGGCCAAGGCCGAGGTGGTTAGGGGCAATCAGGCAGGCAGGCGAGCAGATAGGGGCGATCAGGCAGGCAGGCAGGCAGAGTGGTTAGGGGTGATCAGGTAGGCAGGCAAGCGGTTAGGAGCCAGTGGTCCCGGATTGCGAGAGGGTGCAGGTGGGCTGAGGGACGCCCCCCCCCATGCACGAACTTTGTGCACCAGGCCTCTAGTATCGTATAATAGAGACCCAGCATGCGAAATCACACAGCCCTGCCCACCCACCCACCACCCTGCTTTGCTTGCAGCCACGCACACCTCACCACGCCCGCTGTGCCTGCCACCCTGTCGGTCACCAGTCTTGCTGCAATCGGACCCTACGGACCGAGGTGATACATGCGTTCTGGCCACTGGCCTTTTATAATATAGATATTTACATATACTTTATAAAAAAAAACATTTAGGTAAGGATATTGTTATCCTTGCATTATGAATCTTAAAGACAATGAAGAGAATTTCATTTTGATGAAGTCATATTTAACAGGTTTTATCCAACTTAATTTTTTAAACTTAATTCTTTAACTTAAGTTTTCATATGTATTGTAGAGTCCCTACTATGTATGCAACAGCACTGAGCTAGATGTTTAATACATATTATCTATTTAAGAAAACTAGGTTTATTTTGTTATATACTGCCTGAAGATAATGAAACAAAGTATTGTTGTAAAGCAACCTAAGTCATATGACTGATGGACTTATACATGAGCAACATACAGGCATTCTAGCATACCTTATGCATATAGCTCAGAACTTAGTTCATGAAAGCTGTGCGATCTAATTTGAAGAAGTCTCAAAAAAAATTAAGAGCTCTGTGTGTGCATGATCACACATGCATGTTAGATAACAGATTCAAACTTGGGCAGTTTAAATAAAGAAGCAAGGTATGACTTTTAAAATGAAAATGATTGATTTAGATTATAACAGCAGTTTCTAGAATAAGAGATATTTCTGAAGTCAGCAATATAAAAATTATCAGCTTTAATTATAAATAACATTTGAAAAAAATTTACTATAATCAAGATTTTTTTTTTTCCATTTGTAAATATGGGTAATTTTCAAGAGGTTTCTAACTTTTTGTTTTTTGCTATCATATCACCTAACGTTTTTGTGATCTCTTTATAGATATTAAAGCATTTTCATATTTCAGGCCTCATATAATCCTGCCAGTAATACTATAAGTAACTCAGGTACAATTATTAATATTATGTATCAATATTAACACTATGGGTAGTATTAATACCAGATAGTCAAACATTATTCTAGATTTTTTTCTGTGAAGGTGTTTTGCTTTTTTTTTAAAAAAAAAGAGATTAACATTTAAATTGTTGGATCAGGTAAAGCAGATTACCCTCCATAATGTGGGTGGGCTTTATGAAATCTAATGGTAAGCTTTAATAGAGCAAAGGCTGACTCCTGGAACAAAAGGAGTTCTGCCAACAAACTGCCTTTGGACTCAAACAGCAACCCTTATCTGGGTCTCCAGCCTGCCAACCTAATATGCAGATTTTAGACTTATTAATACTCTATAATCATGTGAATCAATTCCTTAAAAATAAATAAATCTCCTCCCCTCCCCTCTCCCCCACTCCTCCCTCTCTCTCTCTCTCTCTTTCTCCCTCTCTCTCAGAAAACATAAATTCAGATCTTTACTTTTGCCTCCAGTCATTCTTGAAAAGATGCTAAAATTCTCAAGGAGATGAAAAGTAGAATTCAGTTTCCATAGCCTACCACTTAGCCAGTCTAATGTTCTTTTTCTTTTAAAATACTTATCTGACAAAACTAATCAGCTCTGGAAAACAGTTTGGCAGATCCTCAAAAAGTTAAGCATAGAGTTGTCATCTATTTCACACCTAGGTATATGCTCAAGAGAATTGAAAACATATTGTCCACACAAAACGCTGTACATGAATGTTCATAGCAGCATTATTCACAGTAGCCAAAATGTAAAAACATAAATGTCATAAGTTGGAGAATAGCTTTTTTAAAAAAGTGATACATCCATACAACAAAATGATTCAGGGATAAAATGAAAGAGATACGTGCTACAATGTAGATGAATCTCGAAAACATGCTAAGTAAAAAAAAGCAGATGCAAAAGCTACATATTGTATAAATCCATTTATATCAAACTAGAGGCCTAGTGCATGTATTCGTGCACCGGTGGGGTCCTCAGCCTGGCCTGAGCCCTCTCACAATCCAGGACCCCTCGGAGGATGTCGGACTGCCGGTTTCAGCATAATCCCCACAGTTGGGCTGAAACCGGCAGTCCGACATCCCCAAGGGACATAGCAGTGCTTGAAGCAGCAGGCGGCTGGGGAGAAGCCCAAGTTGGGTTGGGCGCCGCACCGCTCCCACTCATCCTGGCACCTGCTCATCCTGGCGCCGCTTGGTAGCACTGCCACGAAGGCAGGAGGGTTCACACCACAGCAGCTGTGCTTGCTGGCCAAGAGCCGGCTTCTGATTGAGTGGTGCTCCCACTGGGAGAGCACACTGACCACCAGGGGGCAGCTCCTGTATTAAGTGTCAGCCCCCTGGTGGTCAGTGCGCATCATAGCTACTGGTCAAACGATCGACCAGCCACTTAAGCTTTTATATAGAGAGATGTCCATATTAGGCAAATCTATACAAACAAAAAAAATAGATTAATGGTTTTCAGAAGTAAAAAAAGAAAAAAAGGGGGGGAGACAATAGCCCAGTCTGCATGGCTCAGTGGTTGAGTGATAACCTATGAACCAGGAGGTCAAGATTCGATTCCCAGTCGAGGCACATGCCCAGGTTGCAGGGCTCAATCCCCAGTGTGTGGCATATAAATGGCTGCCTATCAATGATTTTCTCTCATCATTGATGTTTCTATCTCTCGCCCCCTCTCTGAAATGAATAAAAATATGTTAAGAAAATTTTTTTAAAAAGGAAGACAATAGGGAGTGAATACTTTCAAGTATGGAGTTTCATAACAGAGTGATGAAAACATTCCTGAATTAGGCAGTGGTGATCATTGCAAAATCTTGTGAATATGCTAAAATCCATTGAGTCACACCACTTAAAATTGAGAATATTAAGATAAGCAAATTATATCACAATTTAAAAAATAAAAACAAATCAACTTACCTGCCCTTTTTGTGGTGCCAAACAACGAACAACTTCATCCACCATTACTGGAATATGTAGTTTACTCAGAGCTTCGGAATCTCTGTCTTGAGATCTGTGAAACTCATGAGCTCCATCTTGATATGTTTGCTCCTGGGACTCATATTCATCATATCTTTCTGATGTAGCATGTATCCTTTTAACACCTAAATTAAATATGCCAGCTTCCAACCAACATGAAAGACATTCTTTATAGGTTCTACGAAAGTATGGATAGCGAAGCATTCTGTAGGTCAACAAATCTAGAAAAAAAATTTTAAATATCATGATTGTTGGATTTTTTAAAAGGCTGCTATAATACTTGGGGAAAAGCAAATTAGTATACAATATTTACCACACAAAAATGTGTTAAGACTCATCATCTCAAACAAGTGTGGGTGAGTAATCTCCTTATACAAAGCAAGGAACCCAGAAAAATTTAAGAAACAATCTGAAAATGTAATTTTTAATGTAGCCTAATTAACTCCAAGACCATTAATGTTTTAACCATCAGAAATGTGAAAATTAATTATTTAGTTTTTATTTTTCTGAAATATAACTTTTTTGAATTTTAATAGAGTCTAAAGAGCAAGTTCAAAGCATTAGAACTGTTTATTGGGAAAGATATCTGGATGACCAAACGGATTATAAATATTATCCTATGTTAGGTTTAGGTGGTCTTTTATTTCAAGCTCTTATATTTGTTTTTCTCATAATACCAAGACTTCATCTTCAATTTAACTTTGAGAAAAGACTATGCGTGTACATCTCAAATAAAGGGAGGTGTTCAGTGTACCAGAAAAGTAAAAATCTCACAATTTTGCCATGAATACTCTCTGATATCATGTCACCATGACATGTCACCATGTCATCACTTCATTTCATGAAGTACTTTTCAATCTAAACCAACCTATCTAATAAAGAGGGAATATGCTTACTGACCCTCACCATTGCAAAGATGGCAGTGCCCACAGCGAATATGGAGGGAATATGCTAATTGACTGCCATGCCCTCAAAGATGGTGGTGCCCACAGTCACAAGATCGCAGCGCCCAGTCCCCTCAGGTCCGCTGGGGCTGCAGGCGTGCGGCAAGGCCAGGCCCGCCTGTGCACCTGCCTCCGGAGCCCCCCAGTCCCCTCAGCCCCCCAGCGCCAGTCTGGGGCACAGGTAAGCCTCGGCTTTCAGCTGCCCAGCTGCCCAGGCCCGGCCCAAGGTGCAGGTAACCAAGGCCGGCTGAGGCTTGCACTGCCGGCTGTGGCAGTAGCAGAGGTGGATGGGGCGTCGCCTCCCACCCCTGAGGGCTCCCAGACTGTGAGAGGGGGCAGGCTGTGCTGAGGGACCGTCCCTCCTCCAGTGCATGAATTTTCATGCACTGGGCCTCTGGTCTATACTAATAATAGAGGAATATGCAAATTGTCTGGGATGCCTGCTTCGAGTCACCAGGCCAGCAGCGGGTTAGTGAGGGACGACCAAACAACTGAAGAGCAGGCTGCATGGGGCAACCGGGTAGGCAGGGGGGTTAGTGAGGGATGATCAAATGACTGAACAGCAGGCTGCGTGGGGTGACCAGGCCGGCAGCGGGGGCAGTTGGGGGCAAGCAGGCTGGCAGGCGGGGGGGCAGTTGGGGGCGATCAGGCAGGTA